GAGAGAGAGAGAGAACCGAATTTTTAGTAAAATTTAATTTACAAAATGAGTTTCTTATAAATTGTCATTATATATGAACAATCATTAATAAAAATATTTGTATTAATTGATCTTTTAACTACCTATCCTGTAAATAATTATATTTTCATAAGGTAAAATAAATTTTATTATTGACACTAAAAATGCAAAAAATTTATCAAATTTTAACAAATATTTTGTAAAAGATATTTTTTATATTGCACTTTATACATATATTTTATAGTTATATAAACAGGATTAATTTTTTCACGTTCATAATTTCTTTTTACATGCCAGCTTATATGAACAAAAAATACATTTATAAAATCAAATATACAAACTTAAATTGTATAGTAATAAAATTCATTGGTTTGTGGCTATTCAGTCTTTATAATATATAAAAATTACATTAATATTATATGAATCATGAAATATGTCTTATTTTATATTTTTTTTAATAAACTATAAAATTATTCATGCGTTAAAATTTCCTCGTTATTTACATTATAATAATAAAAATAAGAATATTAAACAACAAATTATTAATACGAAATATAAAACGAAAATACTTATTAAATATTTTTGTGATGATTTTGAGTATTATGATGTTAAGTATCTATACAACTTATATATACATCAAATATGGAAAAATTATTTAAACTATAATACTTTGCCTTTGATTTGTTATGTTTGAAATTGGGTAACAAGTAGCTTTGTTGCTTTGGCAATATCATAAACACATGAACGTACTTGTTGGAGGCATCTATCCATATGTTCTGTATCACTAGTACATCTTTGAAGACCAGAACATTCTGCTTGAAGTCTACCTGTATTACCATTTAATTGTCTTAGAGCAGATCTGACGTTTTCCTCAATAGGATTCTATAATATAATTTAAATGTTTTTATATAAACTTTTGTTTATATTTAAACAAAAACTACGTATCTTACTTGAGGAAATATAGCTGTGAGTTCAGCAACAGCAACACGAATTCTTTCTGCACAAGGTACAAAAGCTTCTCGTTGTTTTGGATCTTGCATGGCCATCCATAATTCCCGAATTCTTTTTGTAACTTGTTCAGTTCTTCTAGTAACTTCTTCGCTAGAAGGAAGATTAGGAGCTCCATAGTCCCATAGACTTTGTGTATTGCCACGAGACACTGTCTCTGAATCGCGTTTTGACTATATTTTATATTTATAAATAGAAATATTAAATAAATCTTATAAAATAAAATTTATAATTATAAATCAAAGATTTTATCATTGATATTAATACCTGGCAAATAGATGTTGACCATGAATTTGGTTTTCGTAAACCTTCTCTTGTTTCATACATAGACGCAGGTCGTTGATTAGTTCGACTAAGAGATGTTTTTATATCAAGTACTGGCTCTAATTCTGGTTCTTGTTCTCCGCTAACATGACCATTAATAACCGCATCAGATCCTTTTAGCTATATTTTTTATATGTTTTAGATTTCAATTCATAATATATTATGGCAATATTAAATATTTATCTTACATGAATCATTTGTTTTAGTTCATTATTTTCATGTGTCAGTTGTTCTATAGTATTTTGTAATGTAGAAATCTGTTCACGGAGATCCCTGACAGTAGATTCAGAGAGAGTTAATTGCTTTTTCAAAACTTCTACAACAGATGGAAGCCCCTTGGCTAATGGAGCAAAAGCTTCCTGCAATATCATTTTAATAATGATGAAATTTTATTTTTGCATAAAGAAAAAAAAATGTTATCATTACATCACTCTATGTGGTTGTTGCAAAATAAAACATATGATCAATATTTATATTATAAATTTTAGTGAATTATATATTATAAAAGATGCACAAGCACCTCTTTGGCTGCACATGCACTAACAGACCTGTGCACTTGTCTAATAACATTGTCTACAGAAGAGCCATGTACTTAGCCGATTCCTTATGCTTCTTTTTGTTATTAAAGCTGGTACCTTTAATATGTTACCACTTTATCTATTTTTATATAATTTTATCTATTTCTTAAATATAATAAATTGTCCTTTCTTTTTAAATTTCATGACATAATTTCTGTATTTATATCATCTTCTTTAATTTTTAAGCAGTTTAATACCTACTTCATTATCCATTTTAAATTGTGTTGAATATTCAGGCATTGTATTGTCAGCCGATGTCAATGCATAATCATCATCAGAAGCTACACTATCATATAAAGGTTCATCATCAGACATTTGTGATCCATATTTTCCATGTTGCTCTTTACGAAGTATGGAAATAGCTGGATCTATAAATACTATATACATTGACATAATGGATAAATTATAAAAAAATATATAATCTGAATAATTTTATATAAACCTTGTAAGGGCGCATTATTTGCAAACATATGTCTTCTGCGAGCTTCAATAAGAATATCTATAATAAGTGTAGCAAATTCCTTTGGTGTAAATCTTGCTAATTTTTGTCTACCTTGATTTCTTGTGGATGATAATTGTGGATTAACTGGTAGAAAAGGTACAGTACATTTTTCTGGTGAAGATGCAGTTCCAAACCAAACTATTTAAAAAATATAAAATAAAAATAATTAATATTCCTGTTCATCATAAATATAATATTCATAATAGTTTATTATTTAAAAATCATATTACATATTTAAATTAATCATAATGTAATTTAAAATTAGAAACTATTGAAAAATCGAAATTTTTAAATTCAACTCACCTTTCCTTTAAAATGATGCAATAAAAAAAGCATGCATATTAATAACATAATAAATAAAACTAGAAATTAATATAATATAATATATACATATAATGATTTGAATGCATGTTTTATATATGTATATAATATAAATATATATAACATTAATATTTATAAAAAAATTATTTAATAATATACATTACAGAAAAATATATACTCAATTAAAAAACTATATTATAAATTATTATTATACTAATCTATTCATTTCTTAAAATCACTATTTATATAAAATAAATATATGTTATTATTTATATTTATATATTATTTGTTCTTACTTTCTTCATTTTCTCTTCGATCTACTTCATCATAAACATCCATTGCCAATTCTTCCAATAAATGATTTGATAACTAAGAAAAAAAATTTATATATTATAGTTCATATTTAAAATTTTTACTTATATATATAAATATATTTATATATATACTTACCATTTGTAATTTATTTCTTCCTTCTAAGCACAAATCACTTTGTTCCAATAATAATGTACATTCAGGAATAATTATATGTTCATCCATTTTATGATTTGGTTTACGTAAACATATAAAATATGTCAGTCTATCTGTTACTTCATACATACATTCAATTAAACGATCAGATAAATCTATATGTCCTGCCATTCTAAACAAAAGTTTAACTGTCAAATCTAAATAATTTTATTTTTTATTTTATCAATAAAATAATATTTTCTCTCTTGTTATATACTTAGCAATTTCAGCAGGTGTTTGTCCATTTGAATCAACCATATTAGGATTACCACCATTAGCTATTAAAAGTTCTAACTGTAAAGCTTGACCTGCTCTAGCAGCTACATGCAAAGGTGTTGTACCTTTTTCCTATAATATTATATATTTCATCAAATGTCTCTACAATTAAATTATATAATAATTGTTTTTTTTTCAGAATTACCTTATAAAAATAACTTGGATTAGCACCTTGTGCAAGTAATCTTAAAGAAGTTTCTAAATTACTTGTACGAACACTACTATGCAACTGCCTACTTAATTCTTCTTCACTACAACATTCTTCCTTACTTGGATGTAATATGAATGCTAAATGTTGATGTTTTGCTTTAATAAAATCCGTTTTTATTGGACTATAAAAATAATTAAATTAAATTTTTAATTTAATTATTAATAATTATTTATTATTTTATATTATTTTACAAAAATGATTATACTAACTGTAATGAATCTTTAGCTTGTGGCTTTCTCCTATTAATTTTTGAATTATTAGGATCTAAAAGGGAATGTTCCCAAATACTGTTTGCTCCATTATCATTTAATGTATGCACCATCTATAAGATATTATTCATTATTTTTTAAACTATAAATTTTACATAATTTTAATAGTAATTTTTACTAACATTAAGTAAATTTGTGTGCCAAATACTCTTATGAAGAGATTTTATTTGAGATATATGACGACCAAGACTACGATGTATACCACAACAATCATCACATAATAAAATTGCTCTGTTTAATGAAGCCCATCCTGGTTCTAAAAATAGTTCATATAAAAATATTTATTATTATAGTTTCCAAATAAATTATTATTAATAAATTAACATAATAAATATAATAACATAAAAAATATAAAATAACAAATTTTAATAATTTTTTTCTGAATATTATAAAAAATACAATAATCGTATAAAAATTATGATTAAAATATATTTTTTCTAATTTATATAATATATATATATATAACGAATATAAATAAGTAAATAACATTAACCTTCATTAAGTAATTTAATTAGTTTTAATCAATTAAAGAACAATTTTTTATTGACATAAGATTATGAAATATTAGTAAAAGATTAAAAAAATTAAATAAAGCTTATGTATTAAATAAATCATTAGAAGAAAAGAATGCATTTACCAAGGGCTCCGCAATCAGCGCATATATCCGTATTAACTCTATGCTTCGGCCGAGCCATTCTCTTTATATTTATTTCGCTAAAATACGAGAATTAGATTTGTTATAAGAAGTTTAAGAGACATAACATAATACACAAATTGTTTTAAAAATAATATAAAAAACTAATTTAGAAACAAGAACTCCTAGTTTAAATGTCATTATACAGTTAATGATTTCACTCTGACAGAAACCATCCCTAGTAAGCTTATGTGAGAGTAGTTATGCCATTGATTGAGTATCCTAAAAGACACGCAATCATATACGATATACTTTTACTTTATATTACATACTTTACATTATTTTATTTTAACCTATCTTAATTACATTTTGTATTAAAAATATTTTGATAATTTTATTATAAATATGTTTATATATTTATACGTTTTTGATAAAAAATTAATATTATTTTATATATTAATATTTTATATTAGAAGGAATAATATTCTCAATTTGTAAAAATTAAATTATAATTAATTGAAAATTCAAAATTGGTATTTTATTAAGTACAAATAAATATAAGTTCATAAAAATATATATTAATTTTTATTCAATAAAAATATATATATATATGTACACATATTAAGCTCAAATTTAAAGCTTAAGAATACACATCATTAATATATATAAATAAAAATATTAAATATATTATGCAATGAAATTATACATTAACTAATAATATAAATTATACAGGATGTTCTGTAATTGATGGTATACTTTGTATATGTATATATAGTATTATTAATAATATTTTACATTAATATTCATATAGGATTTGTACTCACATTAAAATAAACTATAAATTAACTGGATATTTTTACAATGTTTCAATTCATTATAATTAAAAAAAATTCATAATTAAGAATCTGGTGATTCAGAATATAAAGTATGAAGATCTGTAAGCAATTTATTTGATATATATGTTACATTGAGAACAGATTTATCTACATCATCCATCTGACATAAGGATTTAAATTTTTTACCATCTGGAGTTTCTAAGAAATTTATACTTGACTTTAAAGCCATATATTCTCTAAATGATCGTTTTTGTTTATACTTTGTAATTATAGGAGTATTTGGTTGAATTGAATAATCATGATTAGGTTTTACATGCATAATATTAAGTTGATTTTCTAATTCTAGAAAACTTCTGTCTGTTTCAATATCAGATCTTATATTCCAATCTTTATTATTTTCTTTATTTTCATCATTTTGAATTGAATTATTTTTATTTGAAAACTCTGTAACTTGTGAAATATGTAAAATAGGTGTTTTTAATTGTTCTTCTGCATATTGAATTGATTTACAACAAGTTTTTAATTCAATTTCTTTATTTGTCATAGTATTTTCTTTTAATTCAATATTGGAAAGTGTAATTTCTTTATCATTTGTACATAATAATCTTGTGACAAATGCTAATGTTGATTTTAACTTAATCACATTTTTTTCTGTTTCTTCTAATGTTGATTTTAATTTAATCATATTTTTTTCTGTTTTTTTTAATAAATCTTTTAATTCACATTCCAAATGAATAATTTTGTCTTTATTTATACAGATTATCTCAGATGATTCATATTCCATATTCACATTAGTTTCAGAAGCTAATAGCTTTATATCCTGAATACAATTACATAAATTTTGAATACAATCATCTTTTTTTAAAGGAGATTTTATGGATATGTTATATTTTGAAACATTTTTGTTTGGACTCATAGAATTTTTTTCAAATTCATTATTATTTGTTATTACTTGTTGAGAAGATTCATAGTTAGAAAAAATTGGAGATTTTGGAGTAACAAGTAATGCTTCATGTTGTTGAACATTTATATCACTAAATTTTGATCTTGAATAATCAGAAAATTGAATATTTTTCTCTTCATTTACTTCTCCATTGTTAATAGAATTAATATTGATGTTTGAGGAATCAGTTATGATTTTATTTGCAGGTTCAACATTTACTTCATTTGTTTTTTTTAATGTTTTAAATATTTGTGAATTCTTACTTATTTTCTCAGAATAGTTTTGTATGAATTTATCTTTTATAGTATTTGGTGGAATTAATGAACTTTTTCTTATCGGTTTAGAAATTTTTTTATGAAACTGTTCATTAATTACAATTTTATTTAATTGATTTTTATCTTCATTGTTGTCTTTTGTATTTGTAGAAATTGCACTAAAATTAAGAATTCTACGTGCACTTTTCTTAGAAGATTGAATATAAGTACTTGTTTCTAATAACAATAAAATTATACATTAATCTATTGAAAAATATTCAAATAAATATAATTTTATACTAACCACTTTGTTCTTTATTTATTCCTGAATATTTTTTATTTGATAATGTTCCCAATCTTTCAGGTTGTGCTCTTTTACGTACTGAAATGCACACTCATTTTTATAAATATTTACATCATTTATATAAAAAAAATTAAAATTTTTTAATAAATATATGTATTTACCACTGTCTTTTTGAATAGTTTTTAAATTTTCAGATTGTCCAAGTAATTGTGCAATTTTAATTGGTTGAGGTCTTTTACAATCTATGAAATAAAAATTTAATTATTATTAAATTAACAAAAAACGAAAGATTAAATAAAAAATTTATCGAAATTACCTTTTTTATTTGTTAATTTTGAACATGTTGAATATTCTGTCATTCTAATTAACTGTAATTGTTTATCTTTAGATTTACCCTAAGAAAATATAAATATGAAAATATTTGTAGATGAATTACATATTAAAAATTTTTATACTTACAGTTGAATTAGATTTAACAAACATTATTTTTATTTTTTAATTAAATAATATAATTTCCACAATATTTCACATCATAAATTTCTATTTTAAATTATTTTTTATTTTATTAATCACTATAATGTATGATAATAATAAAATATTTTTTAATTATTAAATTATAAATATAAATAACATTTAAATGTAAAGATAATACATAAAGAAATTTAAATTTCTTCTAATTTAACGGATTATAATCATAAAATATAACAATAAATAGATCTGTAAACGACAAAGTAGATTTCAGTTATATGAAATGGTGCATTTACATTGCATAAACACATGATATACCAATGAAAAGAGTGAACTCACATTCCATATACCGCGCGTTTAGTTTGTGATTCTAAATGCATAAGTTACAAATATGAGTTAAACATTAAGTAATGATAATTTTGGTGAACATTTATGTATATATATAATATTTACTGCGTGATTTGTTATCTGTTATGAACAAGTACTATACAAAATGTAAAAAGTTTTGCGCAGATTTCTTATCTATAGTTAGCTATTCCCCAAAGTCACATCTATCGGCCATTTTGTTAAATTTATTTCTAAACGTATCCCCTCCAAATTGAAAACAACCGAAGGTTGACGCTGTTCTCGATCTCGATAAAGTATTTTTGGTTAGGTTAATAGCTGTATAGAGGATATTTAACAGTAAGTAAATTATTATGATTGCGTCTATTTCTATTAATATTGAATTGAGATAAAAAATTTCTATGCGTTCATGAAGAAGTACTACTTTAATACAGTTCGTAATGTGTAATTGGATGGAAGGAGGCTTGGAATAAAGAGAGGCTATGGCTACTGCTTTGATCATATGTAAAATACTGTTACCCGATCGGCCACCCTTTGTTTTTCATTACCGATTTATTTGGCACTTCTTTCAGTTGATTCGTTCGTGCAAAACAATTTTCTATTTCGAAATACTTCTTATAACCTCTAAAGTCATAACCTATATAATATAACCTTAGATGTCAACATATTAAATATTCGTTGTTTAAAAAATTTAGTGGAAATGTTCTTAGAAAGTTTTAAAATTATAATTGACAGACAATTTTGAATTTCTGTAATGTGTGTCATCTAAGTTAGTTTTATATGCAATTTTCTTTAATATTGCATCTTATGTTATCAATATTATATTTTATTAAATAAACTTAATTTATTATTATTAAAAAATTTATAGAAACAAATTTTTTGTTACAAATTTATATGTATATATAATTAATAAGTAAAACTAATTATTTTCTTATTATAATGACATATATAATTCTTTAATTCATATTATTTTGATTTTATCTGAAAATTAAATAATTATATACAGAAAAATTTTATTTTTTAAATTAAAATTATATCTTTTGAAATTTAATTTTATAAATGTAATTAAATTAATTATATTAATTTTGGTTAACTTTATATAAGTTATATTTATTATATATAATATGAATTTTTTATATTTATGTGTATATATATTAACTTACATCTTTCTTTCTTTTATATGATTATGCTATTGTAAATATGTATTTAATAATATTTAATAATAAATGAAAATCAAAGAAATTAAACAAATAAAATAATTGTTATAATAATTAAAATCAAAATTCTTATGTTTCAGTGATTTCAGTGATCAAATAATTTTATATTATAACAAAATGGATGTTGCTGGAGATTTGACATTACAATGGGTGGAGGAGGTGGGAAATGTCATTCACGAAGAAGTAATATATGGTTTAGAGGCACAGCTTGTTGGAGCAGAAGAAGAAGTAATAGGGGCTTGCGAAGAAGTTGCAATAGAGGAAACAGTAGAATCAGTTCCCAATGTAACTTCTACGACAGAATCAGAAATACTAATGGTACCACAATCGAATGACATGGAATCTATTTATATAGTTCCACAAGATCAAGGTCATGACTATCTCAATATACAGGTTACAGAGGAAGTAATTGCAGATAATTGGGATAGATCTGGTCCAGAAGATGGGTAAGTTTAAATAAAATATTTTTTCAAATTAAATTTAATAAAATGAATGATTAATACATTTATATTTTGAAGGGTTGAAATACCTGAAACAAAAGTGTCCCATGAAAATCTGCTTGAATATGATGATATGGAAATACCATTGCCAATTGATCAAGATTCTTATACAAATAGTAGACCTTATCCATGTGACTTTTGTAGCAGAAGGTTTAGAAAAAAAGCAAATTTAATGAATCATATGGTAGCACATCAGACAGATCGTCCTCATGGTTGTAATTTATGTGGAGCACGTTATGCAAGAAAATGTGATCTTATGAATCATTTAAAGATTCATGCATATGCACCATCTAGAGATGGTTTAGAGGATGATTTAAATGATGATGATTCGTTAATACCAGAGGAAGAAGAAACTACTAAAGGTAGACGTAAAAAAGTTCAATCAAGTGTACCTAGAAAACGTAAAAATAATTCTGCTATTTCTAAACGCAATATGGAAGATAGTAAAATGGAAATGGGCAAATATGTCAATAAATCTTATGATTATGTTGACGAGGATATGCGTCTTTTGGAAGAAATGACTAGTAGAAATTCTGCGCGCAGTGGTAACTATGCTTCAAGCTCAAGATGGACTGAACAAATGTCACCTGTATCAACTGAACCTCAAGCACCACGTTGGCCTATAACTGATCCAACAAAACCATATGTGTGTCAATATTGTGGTGTTGGTTTTGCAAGAGAAAAAGCACTTGCATCTCATGCACGTATACATGGTGGTGATAGTCCATTTGAATGTACATCATGTGGTGACATGTTTTGGGATGTTAATAGTTTAAGAGAACATGTTCGTGTCAAACATGGTGGTACAGTACAATCTGATACAGAAGAATATGATAATGATGCTACATATACAGGAGATGAAAGATTTGGGGAATTTTATTGCAATACTTGTGGTGTTCCTTTTCACCGTTTGGATTTACTTAAACGTCATCAAAAGTAAGATAATTTTATGACAATAGAAAAAATATATTCATTTACTAAAATTGTTCATAATGATTAAAATTCCATTTTGTTTATTTTCATTCTCTAATAATATTCTAAAAAACTAATAACAATATAATATTAATTTTAATATTGATTATATTAGGATTCATGTTAAACAAGAAACTGATATGGTGGAAGGTCCAAGTCAACATCATGTTTGCAATGTTTGTGGTGAATGGTTTGAAGAAGCTTTAGCATTGTTAGCACATGCTGAACTTCATGCTAGGTATTATTATAAAATAAAGAATTATTTAAAATTATTTTATAATTATAAAAATTAATTATAATAATTAAAAAAATTATTTAATAATAATATTTAAAATAATATTTAATAAATAATAAATAAAATATTTAAATATTTCAATAAATATTGATAAAAACATTTGATTTTTCAGATCACCCAGTCGACGATGCTTATTGTGCGGTGAAAGATGTCGTGATGATGCTGAAGTTGCTGAACATGTTCGGCAAAATCATGCTGAAGATGCTCCACCAAATACATGCACTCTTTGTGGAAAAACATGTAAAGATAAACGCAGTTTATTAAAGCATTCATGGGTTCATAATGTTGATAAAACTTTTGGATGTACAAAATGTGGTAAACGTTTTCATAGCAAAGCTAGATTACGAAGGTATTTATTATAATTTTCTTTTTGTATTTATTAATCAGTTTTTTATTTATTGTATAATTTTATTTAGACACATGGTATCGCATCGCAATAAAATGGTAGCTTGTGATGAATGTGGAGAAGAATTTCCTAATGGTAGAGCTCTTGTTAGTCATCGCCATTCACATAATAAAGATTTAGGTGGTCGTTCTTTTCCATGTCGAGAATGTGGTAAAACATTCGGAAGTCGTAGTTCACAACAAATTCATATTCGTATTCATACTGGAGAAAGACCATATGGTTGTAGATTTTGTTGGAAAGCATTTGCTGATGGTGGTACTTTAAGAAAACATGAACGTATTCATACAGGAGAAAAACCATATGGATGTGCAATTTGTCCACGTGCTTTTAATCAAAGAGTAAGATATTTTAATTAAAATATAATTCAATTGTTCCATTATATTTTAATGCATTTATTATTATTATTATTATTATTATTATTATTATTATTATTTTAGGTTGTTCTTAGAGAACATGTCCGAGCTCATCATTCAGGTTCTGATCCAGGACGTGTAGGCAGTCTTACTCCATATTTATGTAAAGTATGTGGTGATACATATGCAACATCAGAAGAAATAGTTGCTCATATCGTACAACATTGTGATGATAATACTGCATTAAAACGTCAACCGCAAACAGGACCACGAAAATACAAAAGAAGACGTAAATTAAAACCCCATGAAACCAACACAATGTTGCGTATGACTGAGCAATATGATATGATAGAAGGAGCTTCTGATTCAGATGACAATACTAAAAGAAAACTTGGAAGAAAAAATAAACAACATCGATCGAATGTTGAAGAAGGTTATCAGAATGTTCTTAAGAGTTTTGAAAGTTCTTTACAAAATATAAATTCAATTGTTAGTAATTCAAAGTTAAATCCTGGAAAATCTAAACTTTCTAAGAAGAAGCTTAGAAAAGAAGAAAAAAAGAATGAAGCTGAAGCTTCGTGTCAACCTGGTAGACCAAAAATGATTCATACCCAAAAAACAAGAGTGCCTGTTGAAATTGGTAGTGATGGAGTAAAAAAAGGACAGAAAACAAAAACAATGGTAACAAGGACTCCTAAAATGATGCCACAAGAACATAAACTAGGTATTTTTCCTGGTGGGGAAAGAAATAGACCAAGAACAAAAAATGTTAGTTATCATATTGAAGGGAAACTTCAACCAACACCTGCAACATTCCCAAAACCAAAGGAAGAACCTCCAACATCTTTAACACCAGCACATCGTCAATCACCATTAACTAATATAAAAATAGAACCTAATTTACAAAAAACGCCGAATAACAATCACAGAAATAATAATGGTAATATTCTTGCTATTAATAATGAAAAAATGGAATCAACACCTAGAAAAAGATCAGGTGTTTTGAAAAAAATTAAAAAACAAAAAGATGAAATTAAACAAGAACCAATGGATATTGATCATGAGGAAATACAAAATAATAATAATACAGAAAATACGGATTCGGCAAGATTAATGGATCATACAGTAGATGGAAGTAACTTAGAAGTTGCATTTGAAGCAAGTGTTACAACCGAAGAAGAAAATATACTTCCCGATGTAGGTGAAGTAAATAATACTGAAGATGTGGGAACTGGGAATGTAAAACTTAGTGTAAAAGTTGAATCAACATCTCAACGAATGTTGGCTGTTCATACCGTTATAGCACCTGTAGATGATATTCCAGAAACTATAGTACCAGATGCTGTAGAATATACATGCGAAATGTGTTCCGCAGTATTTTCCAGTCGAGCAGAATTATTGGTCCATGTTCCAATACACATTTGATTTAATTGTTTAATGAAATTAAAGGAGGTATGCAAATTTGTTCTATTTTAAAAATATTTGTTTAATTAAGCAATATTTTAACATGGTCAATGAAAGTTTATCTGTTTATTTGAATTGACATTATGTTATTATGCCAAATTGTCCTCTACTCGTTGCTCTATGAAGTGTACCAGATTTTTGTGTTTAACATATATTTTAAAAGTTGATGCTGTCTTTAGTTTATTATATCATTCTAAGGTATATAGAAATTTTCAAACATATTCGTTTTCGTTTATCATTATTATTATATCCTTTTTATACTATTCGTGTTTCTCTTAAACTAAAATACTATTTGGCTCAAAATTCATATTGAATCATGATACAATGAATAATGTTACAAATATTTTATATGTTTACAATTTATGAAGTTAGTTACTCTGGTCAAAGAATTGAAATCTTAGACCATTCTTTTGCCATCCACAATTTTATACTAAAATTTAACAAAAAATGAAATAATGGCACGTTGTGTACATAAAATACTAAGATATTCTAAATATTAATGCGAGTGTGTTCTATAATATTACTCGTTTATATAAATTAAATTTACTCTGTACGTTTGCTTTTAGCTTCTAAGTAATTAGATATATGATAGCCAATGCATTGAAGTACTATGATAAATAATTTGTATTATTAACTCAGATTGTTTTTCCTATATTTTTTACTTATAACAATATTTACAAAAATCAACATAATACATTTGAAAAATAGATATTAATTGATCGATTTATAATTGAAAAAAAAATTAAACTTTTAAATTTGCCTTAAATCAAATAATTGTAAAGTAATAATAATACACATTGCACAGGTTGAATAGGAAGATTTAAAATTAATTTTCGTATTTTGGAGCATTTTGTGATACAAGGAACACGAATGCATTGTTATTGTTACAATAGTATTCATAATATAATAAAATATGTTTATTATTATAGTATACTTCGTTTGCACTAACATATCTCAATAGTTTTTATAAAATTTGGTATTATATTTGATTGTATGAAATATGTGTAGAATTTTATGAGAAATGAAGAATTAAAACTTAAATTATGAATTTCAAAATTATTTTATTTTAAGTATTAGTAAATTATGCACAATCAGATCTGATTTTAATTTTAAAAAATGATCTTCAAAGCATATCTTTGTTTATTTGTATTACATGTTGAAAATACATGTTTCATTGGATGTAATATATCCATCATTGTATATTACTTATAACTGATGAGTGCTATTGTAGTATTACATCAAAGAATATTATGAAGTAAAGAGCAGAATTATATTTTATTTTAGATAATATAAATTCACGTATTACATAGGCTCATAAAAGTTTAATGTTACAGAGTAAAAATTTGAGTATTAGATATACTGTATATACTTTCATACAAATGTTTTAGATATATTGACAAGTAGTTTTTTTATCTTTGCATCTTTATTCATAACAATAAATAATTACAAATATTAAACATCATTTCTAATTACTAGTAAAAGATTTCATAATTTTATTTATTTTCAAAAAAAGATATTTGAATTAATTTTTAACTTATTATATTTATTTCTTATCTCTTCATTTAAATATCGTAAATATAATTTTTATTAATAAGAACATTATAAATTCCATTATAAAAAATTGAATTAAATTAGATTTAAAATTATTTTATATAAAATGTTGATGTTTACTAAATTTCATGTTAAAAATATTCAAATTTTTTTTATTACTTTGCTGATATTCTATATCTTACAAATTAATATTTAATATTATGTTAAATTATAATAAAAGATATTAATGTTTCAAATTGTTTAAAATTTTCAAAATCATTTAATTGCATATTATAATTAATTTTAAAATTATAATATAGTTATACTTTTTTGTATAATGTAATGCATATAATTTTATTATATTTAACATAAAATATTGTACCTTTATAGTATTTTTCTTATCTTCGAGGAGACGTGTGTATATATATTCCAAAGTTAAATTAGTAGTATTTCAATGGCATTATATATGAGGCAATCAATCAAAAACAGTATGTGCTCTATTTTTATAAGTAAGAAATATTTTGAATATGTATAATGAAGAATATAATGAAAATTCTGATACTATTTGTAACATTTTGCAAAAAAATGTGTGTATACATGTGTATGTATATATATATATATATATATATATATATATATATATTNTTATTATTAATTATTCTTATT